CTCTGGCTCACCCTCTCCTACTTTCTCCCTGCCCGTGCGTCCCAGCTAATGGGCCTACTTTATTCCTCAAAAATATCCATTTCCGGAGCTCTCTACCCACTGTTCCTGACACCGAAAGCACTAGTCTCAGGTTCTTTGCATAGCTGGATTCTTCTTAAATTAACATCTCCACTCAAATGTTACCTATCCAGTTAGATAACACCTAAAGTGCCACCATTCTGCCTAACGCTGCCACTTCATTACATCACCCTGGTTTTATCTTCCTGCACCTTTATCATAGCTTACAATCATTTTATGCACTTGCTTGCTATTGTCTGTATCTACCAACAGAGAGAAGCCCCCTGAGGAGAGGGGCCTTATCTGTTTTGGTCAGTGTATCTCTAGCACCTAGGAGGACGTCTGGCCTGACAGGCGTTCACAGAAGAGGAGATTCTCTTACTTATCTCAGAAGTAGGCGCAGAATAGCTGTATCCCACCACCTGGAGTCCTTTATTTTGGAGACTCAGCTTAGGTGGCAGAAACCACCATCCATGTGCCAGTGCTCTACATAAAGGGACTACAGTGCTAGCCAGCCAAGGTCATTTCACACCTGCATTCATTTTAGTATCAGATGGACTTCTAGTCCCAGGATAACTCTCAACAGTTTCTTCTTGCATCAGTACATTTCCTATGAGTCATACCAGTAGAATCCTTGTAGGCCTTGCCGACTGAGCTCATCATGTCTGTGTTAGAAGTAAGTTCTGGGGCCACACTAGTCAAAGTATTAAGTCTTAAATATATTGAAAGAAAGAAAAGTTTTCCATTCAAATTAAATCCATTTGTGGAGGCAATCAGGTAAGAAAAAGAAATAAAAGATCCAGATTGGAAAGAAAGTAGAACTATATTTGCAACAACATGATCTTATATATAGAAAATCTTAAGGAATCACAAAAACACGGTTAGAACTAATGTTCAGCAAGGCAGCAAGATACAAAATCAATAGAAAAATCAATTGTATTACTACACACTAGCAATGAACAAGACAAAAGTGAAATTAAGAAAACAATTCCATTTACAATAGCATCAAAAAAGAATGAGATACTTAAGAATAAATTTTACAAAAAGAAGTGCAAGACTTGTACAATGAAAACTACAAAACATTGTTGAAAGAAATTAAAGACCCAAATGCACAGAAAAACACCCCATGCATTGGAAGGCTTACTACCATTAAGATGGCAATATTCTCCAGATTCCAGCTGCCTTGTGTTGTTTTTTTTTGCAGAAGTTGACAAGCTGATCCCCAAATTCATATGGAATGCAAGGGACACAGCATAGCAAAATCAGTCAAGAAAAGAAAGAATAAGTTGGAGGACTCATACTTCCTGATTGCAAAGCCTACTACAAAACTGGAGTGTGCTACTGCATGAGGATAGACACACAGATCAACAGAGCAGAACTGAGAGGCAAGAAATAAACTCTAACATGTATAGTCAACAGATTTTCAAAAAGGGTGGCAAGACAATTCAATAAAAAAAAAGAAAGTCTTTCAACCAATGTTGCTGCCACAACTGGATATCCATATGCAAAACAATGTTGTTGAACTTTCAAACATATATAAAAATTAATTCAAAATGGATCATAGGACTAAATTTAAGAGCTAAAACTATAAAACTCTGAGAAAAAAACATAGGCGTAAATGTTCATGACCTTGGATTAGGCAAGGATATCTTATAATACCAAAAGCACAAACAACAGAAATAATAAAACCAGACAAACTTGACTTCATCAAAATTAAACACTTCTGTGCTTCAAAGGATACCATCAAAAAAGGAAAAGACAATTTACAGAATGGAAAAAAATATTTGTATATCATGTAACTGACAAGAAACTTGTATCCAAACTCTTACAACTGAACAATAAAAAGACAAATAACCCAACTTAAAAATAGGCAAAGGATTTGAACGGGCATTTCTCCAAAGGAGATATATAAATGGCTAATAGGCACATGAAACGATGCTCAGCATCTTTAGCCATCAGGGAAATGCAAACCACAAGCACAGTGAGATACCATACCATAGGATGGCTTAAATAAAAAAGTCAGACAATAAGAAGTATTGCTCAGGATATGGAGAACTGGACGCCCCAACTCCCATTGCTGGTGGGGATATAAGACGGCACAGCCATTTTGGAAAACAGTTTGGCAGTTTCTCACAAGTTAAATGTTAAGTTCCTTATGGACCAGCAATTCTACTCCTAGGTATGTACCAAGAGTTACTAACACATATGTCCACACAAGAACTTGCACGTGAGTGTTCATAGCAGCATCATCCATAATAGCTCCGAGGGGGAGACAACCAATGCCTATCAGCTGATAAATGAATAAGCCAATATGGCATATCCCAGTAATGAATTATTATTCAGGATATAAAAAGGAATATCCTGCTACCACATGGTTGAACCTTGAAAACATTAAGCTAAGTGAACGAAGTCAGACACAAGGCCACATACTGTATGATTTCACTTACATGAAATGTCGAGAAAAGGCAACTCCACAGGTACAAAAAGTAGACTGGCGGTTTCCAGGAGTTTAGGGGGACAGGGGAATGGGGAGTGACAGTGAATGAGTACTGAAGTGTGTCTGGGGTGAAAATGATTTAAAATTAGATAGCAGTGATGGTTGCACAACTTTGTGGATACACTAAAAAGGGGCTGAATTCTGTACTGTGCGAATCGAATCTCGGTAAGGTGGTCATTAAAAAGTCACCCCTGTGGGTTTCTGGGACCTGGGAAAATCCCTCTGTGCAGTTAGTACACACAAAACACACTTTAGAGGACACGTTTCCACAGATTCTTACCCGCAAACATCAGGTGGAAAGTGGCGCTCATTAGAACCCTTTCACTATGACCACAAACCTCCTTCCAAGTGGTGTGTCTGGAAGAACACTCCACTAGCACTGTGAATTCACTCTGGAGTGGGGCAGACTGCCGAGGCTCCAATAATTTTATATCCTATTAAACTGAGGTGATCACATCCACAAATTGAGCCATAGATTGTAGCAATCATGTGGGTTGCTAGAGATCAAATTTTATTAGTCTGAATTTTGACCCTGAGGTCAAAGCTCTCTGCACAAATGGGAAGCAATGCCTCTGGGCCTTTATCCCCTCAGCAGAGACCAAGCTCCTCTCTCTCTCATCCCTCTGAAGCCACTGCTCTGTCAGTGTCCTTGGCTGTAAAATGGATTAGTACCAGCTTAGAGGGCTCTGTGCAGAGCAGACATGGGTTAGGCTTGCGCTGTGAAGCCTGCAATGAGCAGCTGTAAGGAGGGTCTCCTGGAAACTCTCTTATCCTAAAAGCTTCTTAAAGGAAGAGAATGGGTGAGGAAAAGTCCCCTGCTCTCTCTCCTCTCATTATTCGTCGCTATTATCAGAGGGCACAATTTTTTAGGCAGTGGACTTTGCTGAGTGGCCAGGTACTTAAAGTCCATTTGTGCCTGAAGTTCCCAAGCTGATTTTGATGCTCTGGTTTTATTTCTAAAGGAAGATAAAAAAAATGGAAATAAACAATCTTTTGGGTACATAGGATGACAGATATGACCTAATGGAAGGTCATGGAGAAGGTGGAGTGGAATGCTTCTCCTAGACCTGCTCTGGTTGTTTCTGGCAGCCCAACATTGTAGAATAAATCTGTAAGCTTAGTTTATTGGCTGCATTCCAATTATTAGCACAACCAAAGGAAAAAATGACAGGACAACATCATTTGTTTCAGAAATATTTTCAAAACGAAAAACATGCAAAAACATTATTGACCACTTTTATCCTAAATCGCCATAAAACGAATCCATTTTCACCAGGTTATGCGATTTACTATTTTCTTACACGCACATATACACATATGCACACAAGCACGAGGAATTAAGAGAGGAAAATACATTTGTTTTCTTCTTGGATGTTTCTTAAAGAGAGACCATTGCTTTTATGTCCTAGCACATGTTCATGCAGAACAGTACGGTGGACACAGCCAGTGGTTCTAGACTCGGAAAATTTAGGTTCGAGCTGTGACTCCCGAGCCAACTGTTGTCCTGGAGCAAACTACAACTGCTCCGAACTGCAGTCTGCTCATCGGAGAAAAGGAGATGACAGCCTCTACCTCCCAGGGTCATCGTGAGGATTAAATGAGATACTTCATGGAAGAAGGCTTGGCACAATCACTCACACGCACTAAATGTTTAAGAAATATCGGCTATTTCTATTTTGTTGCTGCTGATGAATGTGTCTGTTACCCATGCTAGGTAACAATAAATCCACTCTAAATTGCTTAGAAGATAATTGAACCAAAGTTTTACATTGGAACACATGTAGAATACTCAGGACGTGACAAATGAAGACAATCTCTAATGTTCAATCTCTAATGAATATAGGTGTCATTTGTCCCCCATAGCTCTGGTTCCTAAGCGCAGCTATGGGGGAAGTGAAGTAAGCAAAGGACTCACACAGGAAGAAAAAAATCAACCTGATGTGAATGTAGCCACCCAACTAGCCTAGGGATTTATTCCACGATGCTGCTTTACTGTTAACCTTCCCTCACACCATGTATTATTTGGGGAACTGCTGCAAAGAGACCAGAAGTGAATAGAATAATGGTGCTTTTATAGCTCCTAATGTACATTGTTATTGAAAATCTGTCAATTTTACTGGCAAGCCTTTGGCTCAAAAATAAGATCTTCATTTATAATTTGCAAGCAGTGATGACTAAAATAATGAGAAGTAACTGGGAAATAAAAAAAATAACTATTACGATAATTATCTCATTAAAAACACGAGGCATTCTATTATCGTTGGGATGTGCGATACTCTTTAACAGCTGCTGTTACTGAGCTAAAACACATCTGAATAGGAAAGAAAATACATTACTGATCACCCAAATGATGACAAATGGATGCTGCTGCGAATGAGCGCGAAGCGGGACAGAACAGCGGCACCGAGATGCACTGGCCGCCCGGGAGCCGGGCCGAGCCACTCACCGGGACGGCGGGACCCGGCCTCTGCGTCGCTGACATGTCCTTCAGGGAGGCTGGCACTCGGGCTGGGGGGTCCTCTGCCTTGGTAACGGGGTCTGGAGCTTCCTGAGAGGATTCGCTCCTTCTTCCAGGGGGAGACAGGCACGGCGCAGGCACCAGGCTCGATGGGCAGCTGTTGTCCCCTCTCCGCGGCGCCGAGGAGCTCTGGCTGTGCGGGGCCGCGGCCCCCGCGTGGGCGCCTTGCAGGTATTCCTTCCCCGCGGTGCTCCCTGACGGTAGCTGAGTTAGCCCTGAAGGACTAGCTGTTGGGCCCGGAGAAGCCTGGTCACTGTGGCTACCCTGCAAAGGGAACAAAGTGCAAATCATTTTGAGCCGAAATGTACAGGGAATAAGTAACTGATTAAAAAGTTCATATATTCTATGAATAAACCAAAATATATACATATATTTTATTTTATTCTGCAATAAAAAATATGGCCCGGCCGTCATGGCCCAGTGGTTGAGCATAGACCTAGGATCCAGGAGATCGCGGTTCAATTCCCAGTCAGGGCACATGCCTGGGTTGCGGGCTTGATCCCCAGTAGAGGGCGTGCAGGAGGCAGCTGATCAATGACTCTCTCATCATTGATGTTTCTCTATCTCTCTCCCACTCCCTTTCTTTCTCTGAAATCAATGAAGACACATATATATATATATATATATAAAAAAAAAAAAGAGTTTCCAGACAAGAACCAGTATTACATGAAATGTTAAAGGTTCTTCTTTAAGAAGAAGAAAAATATATGAATAATAGAATGTCAATGACTATATTTCAACAATTCCTTTAAATGTAAATGGGTTAAATGCTCCAATGAAAAGACAAAAGGTGGCTGAATGGATAACAAAAGGCCCTCACATGTGCTGCCTACGTGTCAGGTGAAAAGACACACAGATTAAAAGTAAAGGGATGGGAGGAGCTATTTCCTGCAAAGGGAAACAAACAAACAAATGAAAAGCTGGGAAGCTGGAGTAGCAATGCGCATAACCAGATGAAACAGGCTTTAAAACAAAGGCTATAAGAAGAGACACAGAAGGACCCAGCAATTCCACTTCTGGGTATTTATTGGAATAATCCCAAAACAATTTGAAAAGATACATGGATCCACATGTTCACTGCAGCATTATTTACATTAGCCAAGATATGGAAGCAGTCTAAGTGTCCACCGATAGATGGCTGGAAGTATACAATGGAATATTACTCAGCCACAAAGGAAAATAAAATGTTGCCATCTGCAACAACATGGATGGACCTAGGGGGTATTATGCTAAGGGAATGAAGTCAGACAGGGAAAGGCAAACACCATAGGATTTCGCTTGTATATGGAATCTAAAGAACAAAATAAACAAACAAACAAAACAGAAACAAACTCACAGATACAAAGAACGTTTTTTTAAAAAATATATCTTTATTGATTTCAGAGAGAGGAAAGGAGAGGGAGAGAGGGAGATAGAAACATCAATGACAAAAGAGTCAGTGATTGAGCCCGCAACCCGGGCATGTGCCCTGACCGGGAATCGAACCCCGATCGCCTGGATCCTAGGTCGACGCTCAACCGCTGAGCCACGCCCNCAACTGCTAAGCCACGCCTGGCCGGGCACAAAGAACATTTTGATGGTTGCCAGATGGGAAAGGGGTTCGAGGGCTGGGTGAAAAGGGAAGGGATTAAGAAGTACAAACTGGTAGTTACGAAACAGTCATGGAGATGTAAAGTACAGCAGAGGGAAGAGAGTCAACAGTACTATAAAAACTATGTGTGGTGTCAAATGGGTACTAGATTTATTGGGATGATCACTTTGTAAAGTTATAGAAATGTCTCATCATTGACTTGAAGCTAATATAATATTGTATGTCAAATGTAATTGAAAAATAAAAAAATATTAAAAAATAAATAAAGAAGATCAGGTCTTTTTGGAAAAAAAAAGAGTGACTAAAAACGCCCACGTAGAGATATAAATCATTTGCTAAGACGCCCAGCTGTGTTTGCCTCTGGTCTGAGTAAGGCACATTTTTTTTTTTTTAAACCACTGAGTAACAAGAGAACATTAAACAATAGTCACTAAAATATATTCATTCCAAAGAATGTCTAACAAGTAAAGGTTTTGTAGGAAGTTACCTAAAACATCTAAGAATTGTATACTTTGATTTCCTGATAAGCTAACTCCATGGGAAGAGAAAGAACTAGAACGTATGGTATTTAGCATATTTAAGCAGGGAAATGCTACTCTGAAAACAAGTAGAAGCAAGTATTTTTGTCTTATATTATTATTCCAGGGCAGTTTCATTGTTTAAGAGTGGTGGATAAAAGAACGTATTTGGTGAAATAGTATTATTACATGAAAATTTCCATTATAAAAAGCATTTTTTCCCCTACAAGATATAAACCTCATTAAATATAATTATTGGGAAAGCTGAAAGTGAAAGCTAGAATTTTACTACTATATAGTCCTGGGATTACTTCTAGGAAAGCAAAAATTTTAATTTTTAAAATTTGAGAAAGGGATTAAAAACATAAAATCAATGGCCACAAAAGTAAATAATGGAAACACAAAATATATTACTATTTTAATTGGTAGATTTTCTGCTATAAAGTAAATTTAAAGGAAAAAACACACAAAAAACACTAATGTGATCATTGCTGATACTTGCCATGGTAGATTTTTCCAATTTGTCTTGTCTACTTAAATATATAATAAATAAATGGATGTTAAAATGATAAACTTAGAACAAAAAATATCAATAAAAACAGAGTAAATTTTAAAGATGCTACTTGATGTCTGCAAACGTGTATCTTATATTCGGTTTCAATAAGCTATTTTCCCCACCCTTCCATTTACTGCCACGCAGAATCCATCAAACACCCAGTTACTTCCGAAGCTTGGCATTTTAAAACAAAATATTTGAGCGACTGATTAAACTGTTTAGTTTCTTCCTGAACGTCTGGCCACCATACACCCTCAACACACAGATCGCTGCCTAAGGCGGAATCTCCCTCCGGAGGAAGTGGGCAGAGAAAGGTGAGAGCCCGCAACAGGCGGGGCCCGGGGCGGGAGAGGGCTTGATAACCCTCCCCCTGGAAGCGGCCCACCTGCCCGCGCGCGTTTCCCACCGTTCGGCCTCTCCCTTTCTTCCCCGTCGTGGGCTACGCTGTTGCTCCAGGCACTGCAGATGCTGGGAACATAAAGGCAGCCCAGAGCCCAATCAGGCCATCCGAGGACTTCTTCCTGAAGGCTACCCGGAGTCACAGAGTGATTTCAGGCAGAGGAATGCCTCAGTGGCACAAAATAGAAGGCACGGGTATGAGTTCGTGTGAATATTGTCTGTGGGATGTCTAGAGTGTTCTATGCAGGGAGTAGAAAGGGAGGCCAATGAGGAGATGATTAAATTGTTATAACCAGAAACAATGAGGCGGCCGGGTTAAGGCAATGGTGGTGATGGTGATGGTGATGGTGAAGGAGAGAGAAGCTGCTGGCTTGAGGGTTCTGTGGAAGGTGGAGTAGGTGATACTTTGTGACTCTGGGAAGCTCTTACATGGAGTCTGAGATCCTTAATCCTGTCATGTTATAATTTTTCCTTCGTGTAGAAAGTACGTAGGATTAGCAGACAACAGGGATCTCAAGAAAGGAACACCCAGCTCTTAGAACCTCCCCTAGGAAACAGCTTGCCCATCTCTAGTAAAGAAAGAAGGCCACAGAGTGTCTAAGGATATTTTATGAATATTTCTTCGTGGTACTCAAGGTGGGCCTACCTTTTCTTTGGCTATGCTGGCTTGATCTTCTGATACATATATTTCTTTATAAATGATAAAGAAATTTTCCAGAGTCCCAGATAGGGTAAAGAACAGATGGTGAGTGGGTGCCGCTCCCTGGGCCCTTACACATAAGAAGGGTAAGAATATTTCCACACTTACAACAGGACTGCAGGCACTGGGCAACCCTCTCTGCTGTCACTGGGTGGACTTTTCTTTTACTGCCATTTTACGAACCTTGAGGACATTCATATGGTTGAAGAACCCTGCCTTCAGGCAGAAAATGGGAGAGTGCCAGAGACCTAAGCAATGCCCGCTGCCCCAAATTACTAGGGAATGCAGTGGTGACTCTTGCAGTTTTTGCTTCATAGAGATAAAAAAAGAATAAAAGTTTAGTTTTGTTTGGAGAAGGTAAAGGGAGAATATCAACATCCCCCAAGTCTTAGTTCTGAGAAGGTATGGGTAGAACTCAGATTTGTTTTTTTAAATTCAGTTTGGCTACTAGACAGCGCTCTATCTTCTCCAACTCTTTTTAAAATTCAGTTTTAATTTCCTATAATTGTTGTACACAATTGGCAGTGGGATTTCTGTGACCAAAAGACCTTCTACATATTCATTTCCACCATATTTTTATAATAAAAACATAAAAACATATACTGTGGATTTAAAACATTTTGGACCTAAAAATAAGCTGGATAAGTGAAAAAGGTATAATTATGACTTTTTGGGCCCAAATCTCTGGATCACCCTGGATTCCATTTTCTATATGACATAGGCAGAAATGAAGAGTTTTGCAATAAATATTACTTCAATAAATATTAAACTTCTGCTACGTGCAAGGCATTTTCTAAGCACTATGTAAGACACACAGGTATGAAGAACATGGACACTGCCCTTGAGAGAAATAAAGTCTAATAGCCGAGAGATACCAGATACCTACAAAGGTATTGATTTCACAAGGTGGAAGGGAGTAAATGAAATTTAAAAAGTTTCAGATGTACCGTGATGAGAATTTAGAGGAATGCATAGAAAACCAGATGTTGCTACATCATTTAAAAAACACTTTAAAAATCCATTTGATAGGAAGCCTATTTCTTGCACCTGTGGTGGGTCAAGTACAGCCTTTCTTCCTTTCAGTAGTTTACTCGGTTGTAAAATCCTTCTTTTGGCTTGGCACGAGCGGTGATTATATACACAGACATATTCATGAGTATGTATAAGGACATTTGTCTCCCATTTTTCCTAATGTGATGGGCCAAGAAATGGAGATGGGCCAGGGAGTGGACAGATGCAGCCGGTTCCCTGGTGAGCATTATCTTGGCTGTATTGCATTTCCACAGTAATACGTTTCCATGCTATTTTAAATATATGGAAAAGACAGACAACTTGAGAATCTGGACAGGGCACAGACAGCTAGCTTAACCACTAAATCTGGTTTATCCCAGATTCTGAAAAGAGAATTAGGATAAATGAGAAAGGCAAGATGATATATGAGCCTGATATTTTGATTTAAGTTGGGTCAGTCTCTCCTTTAGAGAGGAAATAGATGGAGAA